AAAGAAGTATGTTGATATGATATCCCTCGTAGAGGTCATGATCACAAGATGTGACTCTAGTAAGCGAAAGCAAAGTGTCATCAAAGCTTCTTATTAAAGACTCAAACTTTTAAGAAAAGAAAAAACTCCATAAAAAAGGAGACATATATTTCTCAGGTAAGTATATATGCATTTCAATCATGAAGCATTGCTTCCATCATTTGAGAGATCGGTATCTCACCATCATCTCCTTTTGAGCCCTAATCATTCAGCTAGTACGCGTTATAGCTCTACCTTTTTTTTCTTTTGAGTATACCTTTGAGCCCACTATCATTTTAGGTTTTGCACTTTGTAGCCCTACCTCTTTTAATTTGAGCATACTTTCGAGCCCTTCATCATATTAGGTTTTATGCTTTATATCCCTATATTTTTTCCTTTGAGTGTTTTTCCGAGCTTTTAACTACCTTGAGTGGTACATTATATAATTAAATCTTTTTTTGAGTGCGTCTTAGAACCCTCGACCACTTTAAATAATATGTTTTCTAACTTTTTTAATTTTTTTAAAAAAATACATTTAAAATATAAAAACACATGTAGTTCTTTCTTTATTATTTTTCATGTCATCTAGTGGTTTTAGAGGTTTTGTATTGTATAAAAAGACTTTTGTAATTTTTAGGAATGTAGTTAAAATATTGTTTAGTAAAAATTTAAAATTATTTTTTATATTTTTTAATTATTTTAATGTATTACTATTAAAAATAAATTTAATTTTTTATTAAAAAAATATATTATTTTAATATATTAAAAAAAAACTAAAATACCAATCACGGACGCAAGTGTCCAAAAACCACAATCAATGAAAGCAGCCCTTTAAGGACAAATCGGGGAGGTTGCCATTTGCCCCCTAAATTTAAGAACTCTGGCCCTCCAAGTTAATAATCTCTCATATTTGGTACCTTTCGTTTAGAAAATTTGAATTTTATCCTTGGAAAATGAAGATTTTAAAAGAAGACTATTTCTCTTAATAAATTTGATCATCATCTAAAATATAGAAGAATAACTCTTCTCAAAAGAATAACTTGAGGAAGTAGCTATCAGACTCTGCTTGTCTCCATTTCTATTGGATCGTTTGAGCTGTATTATACCCTATACAGGACTTCCTTTATACGTATAACCAAAAGGGCATCAATTGTATTTTTGTACAGAGAAGTATATAAAGCAATTAATGAAAAACACGTACCCCTAAATCGAAATACTTCATAGTTGTTTTCTCCATACAATTTTCTCTTTTTCGTTTTATTTTCAAGTATGTTTAAAAACAAATTTTATATATTTCCTTGTCTTGGAGAAGATATTGTCCTTGCAAATTCAAAAAAAAAAAAAACCATATGTCCTTGCAAATTCAAAAAAAAAAAAAAAACTCACCCTGCATTTACAAATCAAGAAAATATTGTCTTTGAATAACAAGTAGTTTTTATTGAAGATCTTGTATTATTTTAATTTACAAAATCAGGATGTTTCTCCATCAGAAAGGAGAAAACCATTCCTTCCAGCGTACCCAGCTCAATCTGGGATTTGTTTTCCCTCTCCTTCTTGTCTTTAGAGAATTAAAGCGTGCATAACATCGTGGTAATAACTATTTTTAAAATATTTTTATTTAAAAATATATATAAATAATAATAATTTTTTATATTTTAAAATATATTTTAATATTAAGATATAAAAATAATTCAACTAATATGTTGTAAAAATACAACATTCAGTTAGTAAAAATACTAGAATTAACTTAAGTTTTTGTCTTTTCGAAAAAGTAGTTCTCAGATGCTATGTTTTCCATCATGTCCTTTATTACAGGAGGCAATGCAAAGCATGAAGAGCCACCAGGTGTGAAAGTTTCCCCTTTTTTTTTATTCAAGATTTTTATATATTATCATATAAAATATATTAGAATATTTTTTTAATTTTTAAAAAATTATTTTTAATATCAATACATCAAAACAATCTAAAATTATATAAAAAATATTTTTTAATAAAAAAATTCAAAATTTTAAATTGCATAATTTAAACTGCATTACCAAACATAACCTTCATTTTCTTTTCAAACGTTAGCATGCATGATTTCTGCAATGCCTTTTATTTGTCAGGTAAAGTGAACTACGCAAAAAAACTTTTAGTAAATAAAGAAAGTGGAGATGGGCCGGGCTTATCAGAAGAATGTTGGATCGGTTAAGCCCATATTTTGTAATCAATAACTTAGGCCTAACCAATACTTATTTGATTATTAGAAATTTGAAATTACATTATATATGTAAATCGAACGGATCGTATTATTACTTTGCATTTTTTTCCTAAAAATATCATCTTTCTTTCAAGAACTGTCCCTTTTCCCTAAGGGCATTTTTTATTTATTTTTTGAGGATACAACAGGGGAACATTTACCTGGTTTGTTTCATTTTATAGTATTTTGCATTTCGGTTTCGGCCTTATAATCTATAAAAAAAGAAGAAGAAGAGGAAAATTAAAAAAAAAGGTGTCAATGATTTAAACCAAAGCATAGATGTAGATAATATAGACCATAGTTGTTAAACTGGGTTCAGTAATCTACTCAAAATAAAATTTAAATCACCAAGTTATCAAAGTAACTTGGAAATTACAAGGTCTCATGTCAATTAAAAAATATTTTTTAATAAAAAAATTCAAAATTTTAAATTGCATAATTTAAACTGCATTACCAAACATAACCTTCATTTTCTTTTCAAACGTTAGCATGCATGATTTCTGCAATGCCTTTTATTTGTCAGGTAAAGTGAACTACGCAAAAAAACTTTTAGTAAATAAAGAAAGTGGAGATGGGCCGGGCTTATCAGAAGAATGTTGGATCGGTTAAGCCCATATTTTGTAATCAATAACTTAGGCCTAACCAATACTTATTTGATTATTAGAAATTTGAAATTACATTATATATGTAAATCGAACGGATCGTATTATTACTTTGCATTTTTTTCCTAAAAATATCATCTTTCTTTCAAGAACTGTCCCTTTTCCCTAAGGGCATTTTTTATTTATTTTTTGAGGATACAACAGGGGAACATTTACCTGGTTTGTTTCATTTTATAGTATTTTGCATTTCGGTTTCGGCCTTATAATCTATAAAAAAAGAAGAAGAAGAGGAAAATTAAAAAAAAAGGTGTCAATGATTTAAACCAAAGCATAGATGTAGATAATATAGACCATAGTTGTTAAACTGGGTTCAGTAATCTACTCAAAATAAAATTTAAATCACCAAGTTATCAAAGTAACTTGGAAATTACAAGGTCTCATGTCAATTATTTTTATTAAAATATAGGTGTTATTTGGTTCTAAATTTTTTTAAAAAAACAAAATTCTTAATGCTGATGTGTTTAGGTGTGACCTAGTTAATAGGATTATTAACTACCTTTTTTTTTTAGTGTGTGTATATATATTAACTTGAACTTGGTCTAGATGAAATTTAAAATTATTATTGTGTCAATGATTTAAACCAAAGCATAGATCTAGATAATATAGACCATAGTTGTTGAACTGGGTTCAGTAATCTGCTCAAAATAAAATTTAAATCACTATCTTATCAATATAACTTGTAAATTACAAGGTCTCATGTCAATTATTTTTATTAAAATATAGGTGTCATTTGGTTCTAGATTTTTTTTTTTAAAAAAAATTCTTAATGCTGACGTGTTTAGGTGTGACCTAGTTAATAGGATTATTAACTAAGTTTTTTTTAGTATGTGTCTATATATATATATATATATATTAACTTGAACTTGGTTCAGATTAAATTTAAAAACAATCATTATTTTTTAAATTAATTTATCAAGTTAAATTAAGTTTAATCATTATGATATTTGGTTTTTCTTCTTGATTTAAATTTCAAGATTAATTTTTATTTTTATTTTTAAAATACACCTAACTTATCATACAAGATGATGTGTTTTTAAAGTTATTCATAACCTAAATTTAATCTCTATTAACATCAATCCTAAAACATCAATATTATATATATATAAGAGTGAGGTCATGTCTTTGCTGCCATTGTGGACTGCTATTACAATACGCCAAAAAGACCTCAAAAAAATGGGATGCCTTCCCTGTCAGAAATTTAAATTTAGATCTCTTTTATGAAATTCAAAGTAGAAGACAACGTTTTCTACTAAATATTTTGGGCTGAATTTTCTATGCTTATTATATATACAGTGACAGCAAAGCCATGACCTCACTCGTACTCTTGTCCTGCACGTATATATTTTTGAACAATAAATTGCCAATCTCAAGTCCCCTTGATTATTGCCACAAGTAGTGCCCTTAAAAAGGATATGAAAATCAGTCTTTTACATGCAATCCCACCTTGAAATTCCCTAGCAAATAGATAAAAAAAAAAAAAAAAGAGCTCAGTCGCAGAATGAAGAAAGCTGAGCTGGTCTTCATACCAACACCAGGTATAAGCCACCTCGTATCCACAGTAGAGGTAGCAAAGCTTCTTGTAGACCGTGATGAGAGGCTTTCAATCACCTTCCTCATCATGAAACTACGTTCTGACCCCAAGGTTGATAGGTTTATAAATTCAGTGAGTACAGCCTGTAGTCGTATCCGGTTCATTGACTTGCCTAAAGATGAGCCTGATCCAAACCAACCGAGGAAGTTCTTCTTTTCTTTGATTGAAGCCCAGATACCCCATGTCAAAGAAGAAGTCTCTAAGCTTGTGACTCAGTACGAGTCAAGCCCTGACCCGCCAACACTTTCTGGGTTTGTTCTCGATATGTTTTGTACACCAATGATAGATGTGGCCAATGAATTTGGTGTTCCCTCATATATTTTCCTTACGTCAAGTGCAGCTTCTCTTGGCCTTCAATTTTATGTTCAGGCTCTTCACGATGAGCAGAAAGTTGACCCTACTGAGTTCAAGGGCTCGGATGCTGAGTTGGTCATGCCGTGTTTGGAAAATCCTTGTCCAGCTAAGGTCTTGCTATATGCAGAGCAACAATTTAATGCTTTTATGTTAATTGTTGAGTTAGGGTTTGGAGTGGAGATTAAAATGGATTATAGAAGCGAATTTAACTGGGATGGCAATGAAAATATTATTAGTGCCGGGGAAATAGAGAGAGGAGTAAGGTGTTTAATGGAGCTTGGCTCGGAAAAGGTGGAGAAGTTGAAGGGGCTGAGTGGAAAGAGCAGGAAGGCTTTGGAGAACGGTGGATCCTCGTTCACTTGGCTAGGTCGTTTCATTCAAGATTTGGTGGACCACCTATCATGATTAAAGTGTACTCTCTTCGAGTTATTTGATACGAAGTCTTTCAATTGATATGTTGCCTTTCTTTAATATATATATGTACGTATGTATGTATTAATTTCTATGGCCTTCTTTAGTATTAGTTCTCGTGATCGATTCGGAAACTGGTATTAAAGAAGCTTTATGTCATTAGTTGATTCTAGAATAATTTTTTTTTTTTTTTATTCTGCTGATTTGATGAGAGCCGAACAGATTTGATTGATTTGATATTTTAACGGATTTAACTAAAAACTTTAAATGTCAAATTTCTTAAGGCCAATCTGGTAAACTTCTAACAGACTACAAAACATATATTGAAATCAGAGTTTTACAGTAAAATGATTTGTACATTGAAATTATCATTTTAGTCTTATTAAGAAAAACTCAAAGAAATTCATTTTAAGGATAAAAAGTCCTTAATTCATTTATCATAGTTTAAATGATTAGGAACAAAAAGATTTTTTTTTTATGTATAGTAAAATAATTTAAATATCCTTAAAAAAATATTAAATTTATATATAGTGGTGTTTTAGTTTTTTTATTTTTTAGCACAATAAAATGATTTTAGTTTTTTAAATGCTAAAATTACCAAACTTCTTTTTAGGTTTTATGTTTTAATTTCATTAAAAAATTAATAATCAAGTTTGTTTAGGAGAAGTTTTGTTTTTTGATAAATAATAATACTATTTAAAAAATTAATGATTGAAGTAGGATTAGTCCATGGAAATTAAATAAAAAACAAAAGGAATTTTATAAATGATAATAAAATTGTGGTTGTTGATGATATAAAGAAGGTGTTTGAGAAAACGGTAGTAATTATTTTTTAAAATATTTTTTGTTCATAATTATATTAAAATAATATTTATTTTATTTTTAAAAACTATTTTCAATACTAGTGCAATAAAACAACTTAAAAGCAATATATATATATATATATATATATATGTATGTATGTATGTATGTATATATTTAATTTAACAAAAAACATGTTGAACGACCAACCACACAAACCTATGATAAAACAATAAGATGTGTGATGGAACATATTATCCTAAAGTGGTACGAGAAAGAAGATGAAAGAGACTAGTAAAACAAGTCGAAAAGCTTTGACGAATGAAGATAATACACATTCAAGCTATGTGGAGAGAGAGAGAGAGAGAAAGGTGAGAATAAATCAAGCAATGCTCTCTCTCGGCAAGAGAAACAAGCTGTGGGGGGGGAGAGATCGAGAGAGTGAACGATCGACAAAGTACTTGTAATTGTAATTGTAATTGTAAGAAAACCACCATTTCCTAATGAGATACCATCTGCAGAACACTCCGTCAGGAAGAAAAGGATTGACAGTAAAAGACTCGATCACGTTAAGAAAATTCCAGGATGTTTTAAGATGAGAACAAACAAAGAAAGATAATATTTCAAAAATGCTATTATAAATATATTTCAAGTATTTATAGTTCCTTAACCATATTTTTTGGGGTTAAAAAATCATTTCACTTTTATATATTAAATTTGAATTATGAATTAAGCCTACCCAAGACACCACAACCACATACTTGTCTTTCAAGAAATTTATTCAGTTAAGATATAGAAATGTGACATGCTATAAAAGGCTTTAATGCACCTAATAATATCGGTGAAGTTTAATCCCTTTTAAAATTGATGCCAAAATGTATAGAGGTGTGGTGTTAAATTCTAATATTATATTTGAATTAATGAATGTAGTGAATTTTGCCATGCGTTAGGCCTGGGATAGCATGAATTGCCCCACCATGCCCGAGGTGCAATGACAAAAAATCCTTAAACTCAACACCCTTTAAAAACATCAAGTCTGGATGCTAGGGTTGGCAATACATCAAGCCCACAAAAAATAAAGAATAAAGAATAGGCTTGCTGTCTTGCCACAAAAACTAAGAATTATATATAAAAAAAATTAAAAATTTTTTTTCTAAAACTACAATTAAAGATGTTTTTGTTAAAAAATTTTAAATGTAAAAAGATATTTAAGCATTATTAATGCTAGTAAAAGAAAAAACTTGACTACCTAATCAGCTAGAAGGGTAAAAAAAATAATGTAGACAGTCTATAAAAAATGTGATTTGATTAAAAAACTTGAATATATATATATATATGTAGAAATTTCAGCCCATAATATTACTTTGAATTTCATAAAAGATATCTAAATTTAAATTTCTGACCGGGACAGCGTCCCATTTTTTTGGGTCTTCTTGACGAATTGTAAAAGCAGACCACAATCACAGCAAAGCCATGACCTCACTCTTATTCTTGTCCTGCACGTAGATATTTTTGAACTATATATTGCCAATCTCAATTCCGCTTCATTATAGCCACAAGTAGCGCTTTTAAATTATGAAAATCAGTATTTTGCATGCAACCCCACCTTGAAATTCTATAGCTAATATAGAAAAAATAAAAAAAAAAGGAAGAAGAAGAAGAGGAGAGCTTAGTATAATGAAAAAAAAGTTCAGTGTAACTTGTTTGAAAATGTAATTATAATTATTTTTTAAAAGAATTTATATTAAAATAATATTTTTTATTTAAAAAAGTTATTTTTAAAATTAATGTATGGAAACAATTTAAAATATATAAAAAAAATATTTTTAATAAAAAATAAAATTAAACTTTTTAAAAATGCGATGTAACGTAATTCTCGGGGAGAGAGAGTGAACAATTGACGAAGTAATTGTAATTGTAAGAAAAATTATAATCTTTGTTTTTTTTTTTTGGAGTAAAAAAGCTAAAGAGTTATTTCATTTTTATATATTAAATTTTTATTATGAGTTATATTTCACTTAATTTACTTAAAATATTATAATTATATATTTATTTTTTATTAAATTTATTCAGATAGAAATATGATAAATCACAAGAAATTTTAATATATTTAATAGGGTCGGTGAAGTTTATTTATTTAAAAAATAATTTCTTTTAAAATTTATGTAAAAATTTATGAAGATGTAGGGTTAGATTCAAGCATTATATTTATATCTATGAATGTAATTAATTTTATTAGATTCAAGCATTATATTTACATCTATGAATGTAATGGATTTTGTCACATTTTAGGCCTAGAAAAGAATGAAGCGCACAGCCATCCTCAAGATACAATGACAAAAATTCCTCATGCTCAACACCCTTGAGAAACATGCATCAGCTGAGGTGCTAGGTTTGACAAGAAATCAAACCTATAAAAAATAAACTTGGTGTTTTGTTACATTGACTAAGAATTATATATATAAACAAATCATACAGAAAAATATATGTGTGTAAAGAAAGCTACAACTAAAGTTATTTTTATTTTAATTATTTTTGTTAATAAGGTTTAATTTCTTCAGAATTATTGGTTCATCTTATGCAGTGATTAGATTAAATTTTGTTGAATATAAAAAAATTATTTAAATATTATTAATAATTTTTTTAGCAAAAAAAAACTTGACTCCATTGACCTAATCGACTTAAATAATACAAAGATAATATAGATAAATTATAAAAAATATAATTTAATTAAAAAATTTAAAAAATTTTTTTAAAAAAATATT